CCTGCACTGCATTGCCAAAGCTGCATGCATCAGAAATCCAGGAGGGGGAGCCCATCACCCTGGAGCTGCCGAAGCGCAATGCGTCGGCCTACATGGCCTCCCACTTCTACCTCGACGATTTCCCGCAGAGCTCCGAGCCCCTCAGCGACCAGCCGATGCCGCACACTCACGTCAATCCGGCCGAGGTGTTCGAGCAGGACGAGGGCTACCTGGGCCGGCCCTTCCCCCCGGGCCCGCCCAGGGAGATCGGCGGCGGGGTGGACCCGGCCCAGGCGCTGTGCATGGACGGCTTCGACGCGCCCTCCGCGCCCGCGCTCGGGGACAGGCTGCGGGAGTCGGGCATCCAGGCCGCCGAAACGGCGATCGCGGGCTGGCGCGCGGCAGTACGCCAAAAGCGCCGCCTACCGGGGCCTCGGCCGCGGGGAGCAGTGGCTGGACAGCTTCGCATTCCCAGCACGCCGGAGAGGCTGGCCCCGCCGCCCGACGAGGCGGCCGTGGACCCGCAGATCATCGGCCGGCCCAGCAAGGTGGAGCCGCTGCTGGAGCGCGCCGGGCAGAGAGCGGCGCTGTAGGGCTCGCGGTCGCAGGCGCCGCGGCCGCGCTGGTGGGCACGGCCTGGGCCATCGAGGGAGGGCTCACGGCCGCGAGCCACCTGATAGGCTTCCCGGGCGGCGGGGGCGGCGGCACGGACAGCGACCAGAGCCGGTCCAGCAGCGCGGTTGACATCCAAACACTGAACGGCACGCAGGAGTCGGGAGTGCAGCAGCACTTCGCGATGCACCAGCAACGCCAGCGCCCGACGAGGTCATCCGCATCGACTCGGACAGCGACTCCGCACCCCCCGGCGCCACGGGTCCGCGCCAGGGCGGCGAGGCAGCAGCCCTCGGGATAACCCGGTGCGCCTGCCGCTCAGCGCCCAGCGGCAGTCCAGCGGCAGCGAGGGCTCCAGGGTGAGCGGCCAAACCCGCCCCCTAAACGCCGAGCTCCTGCGGGGTGACCTGGAACTCGCCTGACGCTAGGAGGGAAAGCACTCCCGCGGCGAGCCATGGAGAACGTCACCCAAGCCGTCCAAAATGAGCCGTCTTCGCTTTCCACCTTCACCCCCACCACCAGCCGAGTGGCCAGAATCCTGCTGACCAGCGGCATGGATTTCATCGACCCCGAGAGCGTGAAAATCGCCTTCCGGGTGCGGAACACCGACGGAGGCGGCGGCCAGGTCTTCCCCGGCTCCTTCGAGGGGAACTGCTTCATCAAGCGCGTCCAGCTCTTCAGCAACGGGCAGCGGACGGACGACATCTCCGAGTACGGCCGCTGCTGCTGGCTCTACAGCCTGCTCAAGCCGCAGGAGTGGTACAACGGCCGGGCCTACGAGGGCTTCTACCCCACGAACTTGGGCAACCCGCCCGCGATCCTGGACGGCAACTACAGGGACGTGCTCATCCCGCCCACGCTCATCGGGCTCTTTCAGTCCGGGAAGATGCTCCCGCCGCAGCTCAACCTGGTGCTGGAAATCGAGTTCGCGGAGGCCGCGGACGCGCTCTGGCCGGGAGGCACTGGCTCCGCGAGCTACAGCATCGAGAACGTGCGCGTGCTGGCCTCCCAGGTGACCTTGGACTCCGCGCTGGTGGAATCCTTCAACAAGGTGCTCCTCAGCGGCCGCAGCCTCGTGTTCTCGTATCCCACGACGCACACGCAGGTCTCCTCGATCCCCGCCGGCACCTCGCAGGACAGCGTCACGGTGGCCAGGGCCTACACGAAGCTCATGGGCGCCTTCGTCACCTTCAAGGACGACGACGACGCCCTGGGCGAGGTCATGAACCTGGAGTACCCCGCAATCAACGGGCAGCTGGAATCCCAGATGCAGCTGGGCGCGCTCCAGTACCCCAGATACCCCATGGCCAGCCTGGCGGAGCACCACCACTTCTTGGAGATCATGGCGGGGACCTACGACTCCAAGATCAAGAACATGCGTCTGAACCGGCTGGAATTCGAGGACACGCAGTTCATCGCCGCGTTCCCGGTGGAGCGCGTGCCCAAGCACCCGCTGAGCGGCGATCAGCTACCAAATCGTGACGCTCTCAGGCGCCGGCGTCTCCGTGCTGGACTAAGGAAACCATGAGCCTGTTCGAAAGCACCATTACCGGCAACATCCTTAACGATGGGCAGACCACCGAGGTCAGCGGCATCACGGCCGGCCAGCTGGCCACCGTGCTGACGGCTTACACGCCGCTGACGGACACCGCGGCCAACACTGCCTCCATAGCGGCCAACGCCACGGCCCCGCGGCCAGCAGCGAGGCCGCCGTGACGGCACTGCAGGCGCAGGTGGCCGCGCTGCCCCCCGCCGCCGGACCTCGCGCCCTACGCCCTGGCCGCCGACCTGGCCGCCGCCAAAGGCTCCCTGAACACCAGCCTCACCACAGGGCTGGCGGGGAAGGCCAACCAATCCGCGCTGGACGCGCTGCAGCTGGAGGTGGACGGCAAGAGCACGCCCACAAGCGTGGACACCAAGCTGCAGGCCTACAGCACCACGGCGGCCATGAACTCTGCCATCGCCAGCGCGAACAACGCGACGCTGGCCAGCGTGGCCGCCACCTACGGCCTCAAAAGCACCCAGGACCAACTGGCCATCGACCTGGCCGCGAAGCAGTCCGGGGCGGACGTGGACCAGAAGATCGCCACGGCGCTGCTGCCGTACACCGACACCGCGGGCCTCGCCGCGGCCGTGGCACTTCGCACCACGCCGGCGGACGTGGACCAGAAGGTCGCCACCGCCCTGCTTGCTTACGCGCAGCAAACGGCCCTGAACGCCGGGCGTTCAGAGACGGCAGGCTCGACGCGGCCGAGGCGGCCGTCGCAGCCCTGCAAGCGCAGGTCACCAGCAGCATCGCCACGGCCCTGCTCGGCTACGCGAGCACCGGGGACCTGGCCGACTACGCCACCGCCGCCGACCTGACGGCGGCCGAGACCTTTGTGCAGAGCGCGATCGACGCGATTTTGGCGCAGCTGGCTGCTCTGACCACCACCGGCGGGCTGAACCTGATCAACGCGCAGGCCTGGCCCGGCGAGATCACCTGGGACCTGCTGGTGGGCACCAACACCATCCGGAACCTCCACGCAACGGCGCCGCTGAGCCTGAGCCTGCAGAACGACAACTTCACGTGAGCCTGGCCTGCGACAGCTACAGCAGGGCCGAGGCGGACGCCCTGCTGGCGCCCAAGGCCTCCGAGAGCTGGGCGCTGGCCACGCCGCCATCACCACGGTTTTGGCGCCGTACAGCACCACCGCGCAGATGGACGCGGCCATTGCGGCCGCCCTGGCCGCCTACAGCAACACCGGCGAGGTGAACGGGCTGATCACGGCCGCCCTGGCGGCGTACAGCACCACCGCGCAGATGGACGCCGCCATCGCCACCGCGGTCGCCGGGATCGATCTGAGCCCTTATTACACCAGCGCCCAGACGGACGCCGCGATCGCCGCGGCCCTGGTGCCGGTGGCCCTCAGCAACGCGCCGGCCTGGAGCGCCAACCCGCCCACCTGGGAGCTGAAGGGCAGCAACGTGCTGCGGAACCTGCACTTCGCCGGCCCGCTGCTGGCCAGCCTGCAAAACAACACGGACACGCTGCAGCTCGAGTGCGACGCCTACTCGAAGGCCGAAACCTTCACGCAGGCCGAGGTCAACTCCGTGGTGGCGGGGGCCATCGATGCCTTGAACGTGACCCAATACCGGACGGAGGCCCAGGTCTCCATGGCCATCTCCGACGCCCTGGCGCCCTATTACACAGCGGCAGAAGTGGACGCGGAGATCGCCGCCAACGGCTTCGACGGCAGCCAGTACTACACCCGAACCCAAAGCGACTCCAGGTACTTCCTCCAGAACGCCAGCCCCGGCAACGTCTCCCTTGTTCGGGACAACGTGACGCCACCGCAGGTCCGCGGCCTGGTTCCGAGGAGCCCACTGGGCTCCAGCGTGCTCTTCAGCGGCACCGTGCTGGAGCTCACCTGCGACGCCTACACCAAGTCGGAGGCCGACGGGCGCTACGCGCAGTCCGGCAACTTGGGCAGCCTGGACAGCCGCTACTTCCCGGTGAATGGGAACAACGGCGGCAGCGGCATCTTCCCCATGGTGATCACCACGCTCACGCCGTGCATGATCCGCGCCATCCTGCCCCGGGCGCCCCTGAGCGGCGCTTTGATTCTGGGCAACGCCGGCACGCTGGAGCTCAACTGCGACTGCTACAGCACCTCCGAAAGCGACTCGCGCTATTACACCAAGGGCCAGTCCGACGCCGCTTACGCGCCCCTTGCCGTGCAGGTGGAACAGCAGGCGAACACGGCGTGCCCGCGGACATCAGCTGCACCAGCCTCGCGGCCAGCAGCTTCGTGAACACACTGAATTTCACGACCACGGGGAACACCACGGGCGTTGACGCGCTGTTCACGCAGGACGTGCAGATGCTGCTGCTAAGGCCGGTAAGCGCGGTGGACAACCACCTGAGAATCGCCGCAGGGCTAGATCGCCGCAGGGCTAGTGAGCACCCTGGTAGACAACGACGGCGTCACAATGCTGGCCCAGTTCAGCGGCCTGGAGGCCCACATGCAGGTGTCCACCCGGTGCGACCGGCAGCTCACAATCGACAACGTCTCTGGCCCGGCCGAGGGCCTGTTCACTAACGAGATCTCCGCGAGAACCGGAGACAACTTGCTGACCATCAACGGTGGGGTGAATGGCGTCACTGTGCTGGGCCCGGGTCTGGCGGTCGCGGGCACGATGCGGGCCACGACGCAGGTGACCACGCCGAGCGTTGCGGCCGAGGCCGGGTTCCCTCACCTCACCCTGGCCAGTGGCACCGCCGGCACCAGAATCATCGATGGCGCCTCCAACGCGCTGCTCGTGGTTAAAAGCGACGAGACGCAGTGCCTCAGCAGGGTGCTGTCAGTGAGCCTCGGCCGCAGGCGGCGTTGCCGGGGCGGTGCTGAAGAACACTGTGAGCACCGGAGTCGCGCGGCTGCAGCAGGACGCTAACACCGCCACCGGCTTTGCGCAGCTGGAAGTGGCCTCCACCGGCAACTGCACCCGCGCCCGGGCAGGAGATCTGGCTCCA